TATTTCGACTTAGCCGCCGTAGGTTACGCGAGAATTTGGATTGTGGAGCGACTGACTCGCCGTTTCGCCCGACAACAATACATACACTAGTGTACGTTTAGAAATTTTCTTATATTTATATTTATTTATATTTTGGTTCATTAGTAATGAAATATTTTCTTTGTCACACATTTTTGCTATCCAGTCATCAAATCGAGAAACATAAAATTTTTATTTCATGTTTTAAATGCTTCACACCGGTGTAAGATGAGTCTAGGAAGGATAGACTACTTTTATTCCAGATATCTTACACGAAGTAAGACCGCTTCTTGTAAAATTCTTCTATATACGCTTTTTTTTTAAAAAAAAAAAACAGATCTGGAATTATAACGTCTACAACGGAATTCTCCGTTGAAAATGATCTATTCTTTAATATGTCACCATGATTTAGTTCTTTCTTTTAGACTAATTATATGATGATAATTGTCGTGTATTCCAAATAACATAAGAATAATATTGATTGAAACTATTTATTTAATTTGCTTATTAATCCTTTTATCTAAATGAGGAAATAGTTGACTAAATAAATAATAAGTTACTAAGATAAAGCAAAAATGCGGGGGATAGGTAGATGAGTTTGTAGTGATTATATTATTATGCCACTCTAGCGATATGTTAGGTTGGCTTATTGTACTGTCTTAGAAAAATAATTGTCGCAGCTGATGCTAAAATTTGGTCCTACTTTGATATGAAAATTTAAAAAATTTTTAGGGCTTGGTTAGGACTTTGAGGCGGGATTTATAATTAAAGTGTATAGGTAGATTTTTATTTCCATAAATTTCAGTATCAATCGCAACAATAATTATATACAGATTACATAAAATATCTTTTCGTGAATATGATGGTTTATTATATGGAACCTTTATTATGAAATTAAGTCGCGTGAAATATGATATTTCATGCTTTGTGATTTGGCTTTTAGCAAAAATCAATATTGCATTGGTCATATTAAATTTATAAAACTTTTATATTAATGATATCTCTAAACTATGCAAAACTCATAAAACACCATTAAAAGACTTTTATGTCACTGAATCACAAATAATTGTTTAACCTTTCTTCAAAATCCTTTCTAACTATCAAAAGATTTATAAAGAACAAATCACTAAATATTCAGTTATTCAAGCGTCGTACATATAATGTGCTGCAAACAAAAATAATAATAATTAAGCAAAATCTTGTTAATCAAAACACAACTTCTCATTCGAATTTACTGTAAAAAAGCTATTCTTTAAATTTTACTTTTTTTTATAAACCTTTAAATATTAGTGAACTACATTTATGCTTATACGCGCATGGGAATGATATTAATCACAGAATCATATCACCTTGATATAGTGATCAGGTGTTTTCATAATTCTGGGATAACTAAACTCTTATATTTTTCAAAATGTCTTTAGTTTCGTCCTAAAAAAATCATACCCATTTGTAAACTACGTCTTTATTTTTGAACATTAATCCGAAAACAGCGATGTAATTCAAACAGCTAGTTGGTTAATGAGATCAAAAGTTTTAGAAGAATGAGAAAATTTTAATTTTCCCGCAAGATTTAAAAAAATTTCATTCGATTTGCCCCAAATGTCAATTGGTCAATCGGAACTAAATTCTTATTGGTAATCTACAGCAGAGACCGTTAATGTTACACGTATATTAAAACTGGTGAGGGATTATATCCATCACAATTGAATCCAATATAAATAATTTAATTCGTGATTGATCACAGGTGAGAGGGATTCACTTTGGATCGGGCACTGTCTCTGCTGTAATGGTAATCTAAGCAAATTAAGTTATGCAATTGCCGTCCTAAGTGGTGATTGGTGTAAATTAACATTGTGTGATACAACATATATGTGTCAAATTAACTTACGTCAAATTAACTTGCGTCAGATTTACATTTGTGTCAGATTAAGTTTTCACACTAACCCTAATAAAATTCAGTAAATATTTAAATTTTGATTTGACGTGTTGTACAACTTATACAAAGAATTTTCTATGTAATGACGTACAAGTAAATATCCGGGCATACGTAATAATTTGGATAGATTATCTGTCGCAATTATACAGAATTATACAGATCTTATTTTTAGCGTTAGCACGTTGTCATTCAGATATTAAGATGACTAATCCGGATAACCATACCCGATCCGAGCGTTGACAAAAATGTGAAAATTGACGTTTGCAATGTAAGGCATATCGATATATATTAGGGGAACTTCTAATTTATTAGGAATCATATGCGAAGTAATAATATGTCTACTTTTAACAGACTTTCTATGTTTATATATTAAAATAACCGCTGTAAAGTACGTTGTGGAGCTTTCTAAGGCATCTTATCTAAATGCACATTTAGGATCAGGCCTAAATATATGCTTGATTCCCATAAATGCCCTTTTCCCTAGCATTCTCTAAACCTATGTTGTTAAAAGCTTGGTGCCTATAAGACGCATTTTGAAGGCCTAACTGTATATTGCTTATGTCTATATTGCCTCTTGAAAAGCATTTACGCTTATATCTTAACAGAAATAGAAAATATATACATATTCTTGCCCTTGTAAATCTCCAAATTAATTACATACTTACACTGAGGTTTGCTACCAGTTGGTGAGACTTTTATACAGATAGACCTCCAAATCTCAACCCTTAATTAAATGCAAGCTCATATTCTAACCCAAATATATGGGTGACTCAATATAAACGCATCAAATATTTTCTAAACAATTTTTTTTTAAATCTTTGAACAAAAAATAACTTATCAATAACTTAATTTAATAAGAAAGGTTTTAAATTAATTCTATGAACTTATAGAATTTGTTTTTATTATGCTTTTGTTGAGCTATTTTTGGTCGAAGTTTTATTAAAAAATATTTGGTGCATTTCTACTAACTCACCCCATATAGTTCACATTCATAAATACTAATTTTATCGTTTTTTAAATGTATTGCAAGAAGTCTGACTGTATGCGCATTTAAAAATGTAGAAAATATACATTTATCAATGTCAAATGAGCCTAGGCATGGTTCTGCCATAATCAATTTACTAAAGTTTGAAATGATTTTTCTTTTTGGGTTATTAATTAAAGTCGTTTAGAAGTAAATTCAATTAATACCATTTATAAACAAAAAGAAAGATATCTTCACAAAATTTAAAAATTTAAATTATCATCGGTTGTAGATGATTATAGCTAGAGGTGCAGGTGGATCTTGTTACGGCTTATATTGCAGCAATCATTGATATGACCCGCTTGCACCCGTAGTCTATAACTGATAATTAATTTTAGTCTTTTAGATTCAGAAAACACTTGTTTTTGCTTGCAAAAGATAGTATGAACAAAATTTAATTTTAGCTAATATTTCAAAAAAAAAGAAAATCATTTCAAAATTTAGAAAACTGATAAAATTGACTGCAATTAATTGTTAGCAATTATAACCGAACCCATTCCCAAGCAAGTCTACATTTAAAGAAGTTTAATACATTTAGAGACTACATTTAAGAAATCTTATTCTAGTTGTTAGGCAAAACCTATAGGTTTCATCATAGATAAAACACGTTATTAAAGATCGTCGATTTTATCCAATTATAAATGCGATTTACTCACGGCCAATAGTAACTAGTAAATTGAAATCACCTGATTTCTACCCACATCCTTAGTATTTACTTTGCTAATTAGAATAAAATGGTTTTTTGGATTTTTTTTTTTTTTTTTTGTTTTTAGCTTTGTGGTTGTTATAGCGATGCAAAGACTTTATATAATGCTTAGACTTATAGTATCTCATGATAATTATATTAGATTTTCTATATAACTATATGAGACCTTTCTCATTATAATAATAAAAGGTATTTTTTGATCATTCAATTTTTGTTTGCATTACACTAAAAATGTAGATGTTACTACATTACAGCGCATTTGTAAACTACCCAAATTTTAAAAAGTTGACTGCTAGTGAGTCAATTTAATTTGACTTCATGTATAAATATAATATAAGCTAAAGCTTTTATGATAATTGTGAAATATGATCTGATTTAAATTATGATATACTACTGCACCCCGAATCTATCTTATCACTATTCAATCCATCGATCTGCTAAATTTCCCTAATTCCGCAAATTCACCATAATGATATTTATCAAAACTTGACAAAAGTTATATGTCAAGAATATATTAGCTTTATCCTGATTCTACACTTACATTGACTTCTCTCCTTTTACGACATTTTTTGAATTATGGTAACGTATTAAATAAACCAAGCAACCTTTTTTTATAAGTTTACGCAGTAAAATAGTTTAAAATGGCTGATTTGTCCATTAAGTACATGGCGTAGGCAATTTAGAAATCGTTTTATCACTGTTTTTTTACAACTTTTTTTTTAGAGTTTATAGATATTTATGCGGCAAAGCCTATGAAATAGCAAACAGAACCTCATGTGTTTTATTGTTTAATAAAGTTATCTTAATTATTAACAGTCGTGACTAATGCAGAAATTTGGGGTCTTGATTTGAAAATATAAGCCTTGCTAAAATCCACATATGAATGTCGCTAAAAGAAAACCTGAAAATTTAAATATAAATCATATTTAAATTTTCGGGGTTTCTTTTAGCGACACTCATATACACTTTATTTATCAATTCTAGTCCAAAATCCTGATCCAACCTTAAAAAAAGGGATACGCCAATTTTGTAAGAATATGGAATCGTGGAGGCGGGTTATAAACAAGATCAAGTTAATTATTAATCACTCAAATTTCGTATGATCATAACGACTTGGTAATCTGTACTGATTAAAACGCCAATTTCTTTGTTCTATATTTCAATTAATAATAATGACAATAATCATGCTATGAATTAAAAGTTATGCTACCGCTGCGAATCAGGTTACATTATTGATCAAAGTAACTAACGTTAATTATTAGTATGGCGCAATAGATTTTACCTAACTGTAACCAAATAAATAAAACCTGCATTTCGCCTGCATAATCGGCTAACTTCCATTTTATTCCGTTTTTAATTATTTACCATCCTTGGATCGGGTAGATTAGTCGTCATATGGTGGAAAGTTTTTTTTTTGCCATGGCTAGGACGCTAAAACACGAGGTACGCATGTACATACTTAAGCGCTACAGGTTGTTTCTATAGTCATATACGTGTTTCATACAAAAACCAGTAATACATGTGCTTAAATGAGTTTATGTCACAGACCGTGGCTACTATAATGTAAAAGCCTGAAATCTGGATTCTCCGAACGGAACTCGTGTATAAAACTCCATCGATATGGAAAATTATTTTAAGTAATAGTCTTGTGGCATCGGAAATTCAATTCCTTAGAACAATAATACTATATTAATATATGATTTCTAATACTGAAATACGTAATTGCTGAATATTTCAAAACAATCATTGGATTATTTATTCTTCCTAACGGGACTATCCGTAAAAATGAACAGTCGTCATTAAATAGGCTAGTTAAGGTTCACATGACTGGAAGATTTGTAATATTCGTGTTACAGAACTTTAACCTGTACGTACGTATTTTTGAGGGCTTAGCGGTAGGTCTTGAAATTCGTTATTCCTCAACTAATATTAATATGCATCTAAAAGAATTGATTAGTGATACTGAAAAAAGAGGCATAAATAAGATTAATTACAGTGAATTTGAAAGTTTTGAGACAATTAGCGAAACCGGCTTTTGCCATGTGGTCAAGTCAGAATGGCAAGGGTGTAAATTAGATGTCGTTCTAAAAAAATCACATTCTGATATGATAATTCAAGAGGTATCAATTTATTACAAATTAATTAAAAATATTATATAAATATAATTATACTTTATATTTGGACAGATTCGAATCTTAAGATCGATAGGATTTCATCCTCATATTAATACATTTTACGGTGTAACGGAAGGAATGTATTTTATATATTACATTATAATAAATTATAAACGTATTTAAGTCAATCTAATGGAGCAAAAAATCTTTTGCCAATTAGACCATTATAATAATTATTTATTGGTTTTGCAACTTGCCAATGGTGGAAACTTACGAGAGTACTTAAGGAATAATTTTTCAGACTTACAATGGAAAAATAAAATCCGCATGGCGGAAGAAATTGCTCAGGGACTTGTGTACTTACATAATAAAGATATAATTCATAGGGATCTAGTACGTGTATTCATGATTTATAAATCCATTTTATTTTGGTTGATTTTCTAGCATTTTCTATTTGTATTACTGTATTTTCTAGCATTCAAAAAATATTTTGGTTCATGATGGAAGGATGGTAATTGCAGATTTTGGATTGGCTCGATTTATTAACGAAAATTCAGTAATTTCGGATAAGATCATTAAAGGAATGCCTGCATACATTGAGCCACAATACTTCAAAGATCCTTTTTACTTACGTAATAAGAAATCTGATATATATAGCTTTGGAGTAATTCTATGGGAAATCTCAAGCGGAAGACAACCATTTCAATCGTTTAATTCTATAGAGGCCATTGCTATACATATATTTCAGGGATACAGAGAAAAGCCTATAGAAGGCACTCCGCCACGATATGTTGAACTTTACACACAATGTTGGGATGATGACCCTAAAAAACGTCCAGAAATGAGAATAGTCCTTAATAAACTAAATCAGGTTGTCTCGGAGCCAACTGATCCTGTCTTTAATAAAAAGATGATAAATTTATCAAATGATTTACTTGAAAGAACTATTTTCGAGCAAAATATTAATTATATCGATTATAGTCAATTTAAGAGTAAAGAAGAAAGCAAATATGGTCTAGTTTATAAATATATGTGGCAAAATAAAATCGTTGCTCTTAATAAACTTGATATTAATCCAAATCTAGAAGAAAATGTCATTCAAGAACTTGTAAAAGAGGTATGATCAATGTTTGATTAGTAATAGAATTTTATTTAGCCTTATCGCTAACTTGTAATGTAAAAAGCTTAAAAACTTACAAAAACTAAGCTTTCATCCAAATATAATTCATTTTTATGGTGTAACTAAAGGTAATTAATTATTTTCTATTTAACTATAATAAATCTGAATTTATATGACATCCAAATTAACTATAATCGTAATGTAAATAGATGCTAACAATAAATATTACATGATTGTTCAATTCGAAAACGGCGGAAATTTATATGAATATTTAAAACAAAATTTTAACAAGCTTAAATGGGCTGATAAATCCCGTATTGCAAAAGACATAGCCCAAGGTCTTACATTTTTACATATCAATAATATTATTCATAAAGATCTCGTAATTATATAATGCATTTTAATGTTTTATTAAACACATTATATTTGATTTTTTTTATTAATAATCATATTATTTTATAGCATTCTAAAAGTGTCCTGATTCATGAAGAAAGAGCTGTTATTACAGATTTTGGTTTAACAGTTGAGACTTCAGATTCAGATTCGAGAGCCTTAAAAATGCCAGAATATGTTGATCCTCAATACTTTAAAGATCATACTTATAAGTATAGCTTTAAATCAGACATTTATAGTTATGGTGTTATTCTTTGGGAAATTTCTAGCGGTCGAAAACCATTTTGTACATTTAGATGTAAAGAAGCGATTATCATCCATATATTTAAAGGATGCAGAGAAAAGCCAATTGAAAACACTCCAAAAGAATATGTTGAGCTTTACACACAATGTTGGAATGATGATCCTGCAAAACGTCCAGAAATGAAATTAGTTCTTGATATTTTGACTCCCTTAAATCACCAGATGTTGAATATCTGATAAATGAATTATTGCTTCCATGTGCAATCCCTAAAACTTTAAGTATGATCAGATCCAGATAACTATATATATTAGTCATCATTTTCCTGTTTGTATATTTTAGAATAGGAAATGAATAGATTTAGCTATTGAATTTAATCTGACGAACTTTGGTTATACAGAAGATAGGGAAATTGGAAAGGTATCATTTACTTTAACAATTAGTTTTAGTAGGTATTTGTTTACATTTAAATATTATTTTTGTACTTAGACGTTTTTAATAAATATGTCTTAAATTTATCTTAATATCACATAACTAGCTAGATAATTTATTTTTTATAATTGTTTTTAAAGACATTACACAAAATTTATTTCAAAAAATAAAGGCAAGTCTGTGGTAAGAGAGTAAACTGCCAAGAAAAAAACATTTCGATTGGTATACATTTCTAATGTTACTATATATTATATATAGCATAACATTATTTAAATTTACTAAACTTGTTACTAAATAATGTTTATTTATTATTATAAATAATCAAATTATTGGTTAATCAAAATTTGCTAATTAATAATCAAAGAGGTTGGCTGGCCAATTGGTTAAATAGTTTGATCAATTAAGTCAAAAATTTAATATGAAGTTTTTTTTTTTTTTGGTATTAAGGTGAGGTCTTGCTTATATCTTTATTAATAATTTAAAATAGTTACATGTATATATGCTATGACTGAAGCCAACACTTGCAGTTAGGGTTAACCATTAAACTACTAACTATACAGCTATTACTATTTGTACAAAACAAATAAATTGAAAATTACATGTAAGAATAAAAGCTCAGATTAATTTATCCATAATCTAAACTTACAAGAGTGGTCAAAGCTTACCTAGACTTGTATGTTTAGTATATAATTTGATGATATACTATATTTGATCCATAAAATAGATCAAATATTAATTTTGTAAATTGTTTGGTCAATAGGAGAGTATGTGTTAGAGTGAGTATGTAATTGATCTAGAAGTCCACAAAGGCATGAGTAAATATAATTTCTACAAAAACATGTATGTTTGATTGCTAAGTTGGATGATGTTGAGGGTTTGTTGATTAGTTGAAATTGAGGTCTTTTTTGTTGTTTTTTTTCTAGTTAGAGAAGTAAATGAAATATGTTTTCCATAATTGTTCATATAATTGTTCATTAATATTAAGAAGAATATTAATAATAACTTGAGAAGCAGTTTTGTATAATATATCAAAGTTTTAAACTGTTAATATAAGTGACTTTAAAATAAGTCCTTTGAGAGTAAGGTTAGGATAAAATGTGTTAGGCAAGATATATAGAGGATTGAGAATTGGGTAATAAAGAATTTTATAAATTAGATCATTTTTTTGGTGAGTATCAAGATCAGATAATTTGTTAAAGACAATTTGGTTGATAAAGATTTGAATAATTTGGTTAAGCAAAAGTGTATTAATACAAGTACACTAATGGGAATGGGAGTTGCTAGGTTACAATGAAAACAGTTAGTATCTGAGTATTGGTTTGGGTAAATAGTATAAAATAATTAGTATATTGATAATTCATTAAAAAGGATTTTAATTTTAAAAGATTTTAGTTGATTAAATTTAAAATTAATAATATTGTATAAAAGTTTTTGATTGTAATTAAAATAAAGCTAAGTGGATCTCCAGTTAATATTCTAATTGAAATATGATCACTTGTTATTATGTTTTTGTAATGCCTATATAACTAATATGTATGCTTAATATATTTACTTAATGAAGTATCTTATAAGAAGTTCTACATAATATCACTTCCATTAAAGAATATGATAAGGGTTATAAAGATTTGTATAATTAAATGAAAGAAGTAGTAATAATAAATATTGTTTGGTAAGAAAATCTGTTTGCTTAATAAGATTATTATCTGAATGAATCTACACTTTGTGAAAGATAATTTGTAGTTTGTGTGAATTAATAATATTTGAAAGAGTGTACCAAATAGACCATAAGTTGAATTTGAATAGCTTATTAAGATGAGTTAAATTAAAATGAAAATTATTAAATTTGAACATTATTAATTAAGAATTAATAAAAATATTAACTACTAAATTATATGGAGTTGTTGAAATTGTACTAATAATTGAGAAAAGCTTAGCTTTGTATGATAAGGGTCAGAATTGTATTTTAGCAGAAAAAGAATTAATAATTTGATTATTATTATCCAACCAATACCCATTGTGTATTAATCAGTACCAATACCAATTATTGAGTCATCAGTATAAAAGGATAGTTATTAGTAAAAATGATTAAGATGAGAGATAGATATAAGTTTGTTAATAGCTTCACTTAGAATAAAAATTTCAGAAGCAATTGAATTAGAACTAAAAATAATAAGTAGAGAAAAAATGCAAATTGGATGCTTAACAATAGTAGAGCAAATAAGATTCAAGTAATTTGTATTAAGATTAAGTTGATATTTAGAATTAGTTCTGCCAAGAAATTGTATTGAAATAATAATAGAAACTTTAATAATATAAGTATTAGTTAATTCTGCAAGAATTAAAATAGCATCTTGTATATCATTTGTATTTGGTCAAAAGTAGAGAATAAAATTTTGAATAATTTAAGTCTATATTGGAAGTCCAGTGAATGATTAAGTAATGATTAGATAAAGGAAATTATTTTTATATTTTTTAATAATAATCTCATTATTGTGATATAAAAGTAATCAAAGTTTGAATTTTGTGAGTTTTTTTAGATATATTAATGGTATAGTAAGCATAAGTCTCAGTAGGCTGCAATTGCTAAAAAGAAAATGAAATAAAATATTAAGTTTTTTAATACATTCAATATCTCAAAAACTAGCAAATTAACTGCTACAAATACATTTTATAATAAATATTACAAAATACCTACAAATCATATATTTAGTAGCCCATATAAATATTACTAAATTTGTAAAATTTTTAAAAAGTCCAAATAGGCTTTTTTGATCCCAGCTTATATCAGATTTTGTACCATCAAATGTTCTGGGCAAATCATCTAAATTGGTTGTTAATTTATTTTCTAGATCTGAGTTG